GAAAAACAATCCCCACCCCCCGCCTCGATTTCACCGTTTCCGCAACAACCCCCAGACCACGCCCAGGCCGCATACCCAGTACCCTTTGCTTTCCAGACCCGCCCTCTGACCCCACAAGCCCCTCCCCGATACCACGAGTGCCCGCCTTCTCCGGCACGTACTCCCCGGGGTCTCTTGGAGGCCGGCCGACCCTTCCGGACCCCCGGACCCATACTCACCGGGCCAGCTCGTGAGCTGCGGCCGCAGGCCACACTCGCCCTAACGGCCCGGCTCCAGCGCCGCCATCTTCGCTGGGACCAACGAGTCGCCCGCGCGGCGCGGCCGCTTCTCAGAGACTTATGGGACGGCGGCGGCTCTGGTTCCGCCCCACTTCCGGGCTTGTTCGTCTGTGAGGGTTAATAAGCTCCCAGCAGCTGCCTAAGTTTTGTTAGAGTAACGAACGCTTGCCGGGGCAGGTTTGCTCCATGGTTAGAGCCTGGGCCCGCGGAATGTATAGCGTCCCGGGTTCACTCGGGCCAGGGTCAGTACCTCGGTTGCAGGCTTGGTCTCCAGTCCCCCTGGGCTGCCTCTGGGAGGCAACCAGTGGATGTGCCTCTCACATCGATGGTTTTCTCTCTCCCTTCCACTCTCTGAAAAAGCAGTGGAAAGGAAATATCCTCCGGTGAGGATTAAATAAATAAAAAGGCACACATTAAAGTTATATTAAGAAAGAAAAAGAATAAGGAACACTTTTCACGTCCAGTGAAAGACCCCATTTGGTTACGCCATGCGCTATGTGCTGCACTAGTACCATATAAAGATGGGATGCCAAACCTTTGTAACATGATTCCCCCTTAGTGGAAAGAATTTATATGCCCTGTAACTAGCCCCAGGGTCGGCCCCTAGGCTCCTGCTTGCTTAGACAGCATATATACTAAAATTGGGACCATACAGAAAAGATTAGCATGCCCCATGCATGAGGATGACACACAAACTCCTGAAGCGTTAAATATTTTGCTTTTCTAATATCTGTGGGTAGGGAAACCAAGGCTGCGTAAGAAAGTGCCTTAATCGAGGGCCCTCCCAGCCTCAAAACCCACCCCTAATTCCTTCAAAAGCTAGTTCGAGTCTCTATTTGCTTTACTTTTGTATTGTTCATAGGTGAGGAAATCGAGGTGACTTATCCAGTTGAGGGCCCTTCTGAACTCAAACCCCATCCCAAATTCCTCCTCCAAAAACTGCTTCTATTCCTGCTAGACTCTCCCCAGTCTGGAAGGTCTTCCCCAGGAAGACATCCTGGGACTGTAGGGTAGGGTGTACCAGGCAGAAGGCAAAGCCTGGACAAAGGCTTGGTGGCCAGGCAGCCTGGGAACCAGCTGGGGAAGAGGGGCAAGAAGAACCCCACACAGCCCCACTCCCTGAGACCCAGTCCTGTCCTCTGGGAACCTGGGGATGAGTCCCTTTTGCAGATGAGAGCCTCTGAGCTTGTTACTCAAATATCTCCTTTTGTTCTCCATACTAACCATTTGGATTTCTGTTATTTAGTGACTACCTTTAAAACTATTTAAATGCACGTTAAAATGGAATACAGTACACCCAGCGCCCACTGGTTTCTAACACGGTGCCCCAATAAAAGGAACTGGACTCCTTGGAGAAATACACAAGCCCAGCCTGAGCATCATGTAATGGCAGAAGTCAGGCCCATGCTCAAGAAATAAAAACCCCACAATGATGGTCCCTAAAGAGACAGAAGCCCTGCTGGGCAGCTCAGTTGGTTAGAGTATTATCCCAATACCCAAGGTTGCGGGTTCGATCCCTGGTCAGGGCACATACAAAAATCAACCAATAAATGCATCAATAAGTGAAACAACAAATTGATGTTTCTCTCTCTCAAATCAATAAAAAAAGACAGACAAAGGAGCCAAACTTGGAATCATTTTTGCAACAAAATTAAGTAACACTGCATTATAACCCAAAGTAGGAAGTAAATACTCATACCTCCACACTGCTATAAAATGATTGAACAAATTCATACATGAGTAGAAGAGACAAACCTCCTGGGCAGAATTCTCCATAATTAATGTAGATTCTCTGCCCTTAGGGAGATGGAACTAAGGGACACCAGAGCCACTAGGAGCTGGGATAGGTAGGCTCTCTCCCTGGAGCCTCCAGAGGAAGCAAGGCCTTGGGACATTTTTGAGTTTGGACTTCTGGCCTTCAGAGTGGGGAGGCAATAAACCCCTATTGTTTTCAGTCTCAGTGTAGGTTATTTTATTGCAGTATGTAGTGTTTTGTGCTGGCTGCCCCAAGAACCGCACTCAACAGACTTTGGAGGTCATACAACTGGGAAGTGGCAGACCTGGAGTTTGAGCCTGGGCACCCAGGAGGGGCTAGGGCGGCAGAGCCAATGCCCAGATGCTCCCAGCAGTCTCCCCACCCTCCAGGCGTAACTCAGTGCCAAGCTCCTATCCCAGGCCCTCAGCCCTCAGTGACCAAGACCCAAGCACATCCTGAGCATCTGTTGTGCCTCCAGCCCTGCCCCAAAAGAAAACCCCACATCTGGAGACCAGAGCACCAGAAATTTATTGAATTCTCCACTTTCCCCAAAGCGCAATTAGCCACACCACACACAGGAGTGGGAGGGTCCCCCAACCCTGCTTTTGTGGCCCAGGTCAGGGTGACCAGCATGAGGACACCCCAAAGCTATAGGTCAGACTCAGGCTGGGGGATAGGGAAGTGAGGGAACATGGAGAGGGGAAGGTGGTAGTGGGAGAGTGGAGGCTTCTGGCTGGAAGTCCCAGACTCCCAGTATGAAGAAAGGAGAAAAGATGGGGGGAGGGGTTGTAGAGCAGGCAGGGCCCCCAAGAGCCACCAAAAGGCACCAGGGGAGGAAACACATTCCAAAAAGAGGGTAAAACCAGCCTTTAAGATGCAGCTTCTGCCTTGGGTCGCAGGACACCAGCATGCAAATGCACACACACACACACACACACACGCAATATGTAATGCTCCTGGGGTGAGGGGCAGCACCCCAGAGATCCCCCAATCCTAGCCAAAAACTGGGAGTCAAGCAGGGACTAGAACAAAGCGCCCAATTTATCAGTTGGGGCATTTGGTTTTTCTTCCCAAAGGGGACATTTAAAAATCTACAACACATCATGCCAAATTCATTAAAAATGATAAAAACCTAGGCTCCCCTTCCTTGCTTAAGCTTCAGAATGGGCTAAGAAAGCTGACTGAAGAAGGAACATGGAAGTGGACAGACTGGTTCTTGCCACCCAAATACAAGTCCCAGAGAGGAGAGTTATGGCTAGTAATATGGGATAGTCTAGGGTGGCTCCAGCTGCCAGCATTTACCTAGAAGAGCTGGGACGGGATGGGGCCAGGGTGAGAGTGCCACCCCAAGGGGGATAGCATGTTTCCAAGGACAAATTCTAAAATTAACAAACATATTTCAGTGGACGGTATAGAAAATCTTGATGGGAAGAGGGCGGCTGGCTGATATCAGCTGCGTTGCTCCAGGTAAGCAGACAGGAGCAGCCCCGGGGGCAGGAAGTCCAGATGCCGATTGCTGACCTTCATCTGCCTCTTGCCCTCCAGGTCGGCACCTGTAAGAGGTGTCAAGAATGAAAAGAACCTAAGAGTCATGGCACACATAGGTGCCGTGTTCTTGGCCCTTCCCTGCTGGAGGTCATGGGAAGCTGGCACTTCGGGTCTGGCTGACCATGACGGGCTCACAATAACAGCTACAGCTCCATGAGAACCCATTTCATTCTTTCTGTTCCTTACCCATATTCAGACAGACATACTGAGATACACAGGCCTGAGGCCAAGGGTACACTCACAGCTTGGAACAAGTGTCCTGCCTCCTCCCAGGTCGCCTGCTTCCATCCCTGCCCTAGTGGAGACTTTGAAGCTCTCAGACCCACCTGGAGGCTTCTGCCTGGCTGTTCCCTCTTCCCTCTTCCCCATCTTGCCAGGGCCACTCCTTCTCTGTATACAAGAAACAGCTGGACTCCAGCAGAGAAGCACCCCCTAGCCCAGCCCCCCTCCATCCTGAATCTATGAGAACAAAGACAACATGAAGATGAGCCATCTTGGGGTTGCCATGGGAACTGTCTCCTCAGCAACTCTGGGCAGGAAACAGAAAGACAGGTAGAATGGGGCACCTGCAAACACCCACCCTGGAGAGCTGTGTCCTGAGGCCACCCTCCTTGGTAAGCAGGGACACAGACCCTAGGAAGGGGCACTTGCCAGAAATCATATGTGGCACAGCAGAGGGGAGTATGGCTAAATGAAGACCCTGCAGACACTGGGGTCCCCTCAAGGCTCAGCTTTATCACCCCCCACATAGGCCCCTCTCTCCCCCTGGACCTGAAGATGTGCATGGGGGGTCTGTGTCCACAATATCACCCTGTGTGGGGCCAGGACCACAGGAATCTCTGATGAATTAATGCAGCATCCCACTACCACTGCTTTGCCTGTCCCCACTCCCTCAGAAGCCTCCCACTGAGTAAACACATCCCATGTAGCCTCAGTTTCCTCAAGCAGAATGGGCAGAACTGGCTCACAGGGGGCATTGCAAGGCTGCCAGACACTTACTGGCTGAGATGAGGTCCATGTACTGGCAGACAGCATGGAGTAGGAGCCTCTCGAAGCTGTGGAGAAATGCGTGGTGAGTGGCCATGGGCTGAAACCATCCACCCAGGAAGGGAGCTTACTGCACCCACCCCCACACAGCACCTGTTGTCCAGCATGGCCGTGTACACAGCCTGGGGGGACACAGAGAAGAACCTCAGCAGCCGCTCCTCCCAGGTCTCCAAAGTTTCCTGCAGGAGAGATAGGCTCAAGGTCATGCGGACTTTGGGATCTTGGTCAGGCTGTCTAGGAACCCCCATGCCCAGGGCAGCCTCCGGAGCTCAAAGCCTTGGGTTCCTATGTGGCCTCTAACCCACAACATGAGGTTACTTAATGGGTTCCAAGAATTCCAAGCATTTAAAATCTTCATATCTTTGAATGCCTGCACGTTCTGCCTAGTGAACTCCTACACATCCTGTAGTGCCCACCTTCACTGCCCCTGACCCTCCCACCCTTGACCAGCCCTAGGTCCTGCATTCTGATCACACTGGTGTGTATCCTGCCCTGTCTCCACTACAGCACGTGCACTAAGTAACTGGTGTCCCCTCATGCTGCCTGCAAATGAAAAGTTGAGATAGGCAGGTGGGGAAAGACAGGTCCAGCCTGGTACTCACCATGGGGATGCGGCTCCGCTTGAGAACGGCTCGCAGACGCCGGCTGATACGCTGGAAGCACTCTCGGGGCGTATAGGCCGGGTCCTCTGCAAGAGTCCAAGGCTTTGGGCAGCAGCTGAAGCAAACAGCCTGCCCACCCCCTCTGGGCTCCTCCCCACCTGTCCCTAGTCCCACCCCACACACTAGGCCAGGCCCCTATCCACATGTCTGGCCCTCCCACCACCCATGCAGGCCGCACCTCTCCTCCGGTCCACCCCCCGGCTAGGCCCCCTTCTCCGCGCCTTGCTCTTGCTCTCATCCTCCAGGTATCGGAGGACCCGCTCCTGCTCCTCCCCAGAGCGGTTCATGAAGTCGTTCCAGACCTGGAACAGAGACAGGCAGGCCCTGGGCTAATGATGGTGCATCTCTGGGTCTCAGTTTCCCCACCTTGCCAATGCACACAGAGGGCCACAAAGTACATGGAAATACTCCTTGTGGACACCTTTGCCTGCTGGACCTGCCAGGAGTTCATGGGGCACCTGAGGACCTGCTTCTCAGGGGAGGGGTATCTGTATGGATGAGAGATGAATCATGGGTATTGGGAGGTTCTAGGGGGGGTTGGGGGTTCTGGCTTAGTTTGGGGACCCAGAGGGAGATTGAAGGGGCATTCATCAAGGGACCAGAGGTGGGTAGGTACTTCTGGCAAAGGCACTAGCACAGGCAATGCCTGGTGGTGGGAGCCAGAACAGAAACACAGAGGCCAGTGTGACTGGAGCAGAGGAAGAGAGCCAGGGGTTAGGGAGCCCCACCTCTACATAGGTCTCATTGTTGCAGGCCTCTGCGAAGATGCCAGGTGCCGCAGGGGGTGTCAGATCCCCATCCTCCAGACCAAGTGTGCCCCCGTCTGTCTCCAGCAGGGTCAGGAGGTACTGGGCTAAATGGAAACAGATGGTCTCTGGGCTAGAGTGTGGCATTTGGGGGCCCCCCAGGCTCCACGGAGACCGGCGGACCATCTCCCCCCCACCATTTTTTTGTTAATCTTCACCCAAGGATATTTTTTCCATTGATTTTTAGACAGAGTGGCAGGGAGGAAGGTAGGGAGAGAGAAAGAGGGAGAGAGAGAGATTGATGTGAGAGATACATCGATTGGTTGCCTCCCGCACGAGCCCTCGACCAGGGCTGGGGATTCAACCTGCAACCCAGATATGTGCCCTTGACCGGGAATCAAACACTCTAACCACTGAGCCACAACGGCCAGGGCCACCTCTCTATATTTTACTCTCTGGCTTGCACCAGCCTCCCCACCTCCACACTTCAACTGTCTTTCCCAGAAGGCACAAAAACCAACCAGCCTCCAGAACTACTCCTACCTCTCCCTGCCTTGTTGAACTCCTATACACCCTTTAAAGCCCCAGTTCCAATGCCTAAAGTTCCCTTTGGCCCAGCCCCAGCATTGCCCAGCTCAGGGCCAGGCTCATGGAAAGGGCAACAGATAATTCCAATATGCACATCATTTTCATCTGAGGCCTAAGAACCCCCAGGAGGTGCCCCTGACCCCTGCTCACTGTTCTCTAGGCGCTGGAGGCTCTTCCGCCCTTTGGCCTTGGGCACAAGGTCTGAGTTCCGCACAGCCTGGTTGATGAAGTGCTGCTTCCGCTTGGAGGCTGAGAACCTCTTCACTTGGGAGCCAGCTAGAGCGGGCAGGCATCCCGAAAGGTGCCTGTGGGCCGGGGTTGGAGCGGGGAGCAGTCCTCAGGGCCAAGACAGGCCAGGACCCGCAGAATCCTATCACTGCTGTTCTACCATAGTCATCACCTGCTTGGTTTGCCTCAGCAACGGGAGCTCATCCCCTGCCATGTGTGTAGCCCTGGACCCTTAAAATTTCATTGTTTCATTTTCACATCACCCGAAATGCAGGCATAATTATTATGACAGATTAGTAAACTGACTCTCAGAGAAGAGAAGACACTTGCCTAAATTCACACATCGGGTGGGTGGCTGAGAAAAGTTGCTCTCCCCTCCTCCAGGCTTCCAGATTTCAGCTGCAAGCTGATGAGGCCCAGAGTGTACAGGATTTGAACACCACCATCCTCTGGGAGTTTCTCAAAGACTTAATTCACCTGAGCCCAGCTGCCTTGTGCTCCTGAGTCCCCCTCCCCCAAAGTGCCTAGGGACTAGGACCAAGACCAGGGACAGAGCTGGAGTGCCCCCATATCCAAGCTAATCTTCTGTCCTCAGAGTAAATGGCATTAATTATGGAAATGGATTAGCAGAGCCACCAAGCCTCCTGCTGGGGACCAGAAGGACAGATGCAAGGGAGCAGCAGGGGGCTCTTGGATGGAAACTTCCTGGCAAGGAGAAGTTGCTGGGCCTTTCTGTTTAGTTCCTGACAACCCCAAACCATAGGATGGTCCCCCGCCATACTCACATAGACCACAGGATGGTCCCCCACTGGGCTCAGAAACTCTTACCCTACAGGGGGGCAATAGTGGATTCTGGCCCTTAGGGGATCTGGGGTGCCAGGATCCCCTTCCCCATGTCCTAACTACCTTCCCCCCATTCACTCCAGTCATCTCCTGCTGCTCCTCCAATAAGCCAGGCACAGTCCCACCTCTGGGCCTTTGCACTGGCTGTGCCCTCTGCCTGGTGCACTGTCCCCTAGACTCTGAATGGCTCACTGGCTCACTTCCTTTTGGCTTCTGTTGAAACCTCCTCAGTGAGACTGCAGCCTCTTCTGTTTAATACCTTATTGCTTTGGCTTTCTGATCACTTTGTACATTGTACTCCACTGATGACTCCTCACCTCTCCCAATAGATCATAGTCTCCCCTGGGGCACTCACAGCCATGCCTGGCACACAGTAGGTGCTAAAAACAACAAAAAAAAGCCCCTGCTAGATCAGATGTCCTGGAAAATCCCTGTGGATGCCTGTGGGTCTGAGAGAAGATACTCAAAGCCAAGAGAAACTGGGACAGGTGCCCTCCCCTGGCAACCCAGCCCCTGTCTGCTTGGTTTCCTCCTGTGATGGGGAGCTCACTCCCTCAAGCACACCAATGATCATAGCAACATCCCTGGGTTGAGTGTTCACATATCAAATCAGCACGGGATCCAAACTGAGAGTTGACTCCTGGAGGCTCAAGCACTACCACCCCAAAGCTCCAGATTCGCCCATGGCCTCCCTGAGGTTCCAGTGCCTATGTCTCCACTCCAGGAGCTGGACAGAGTCCAGGATGGCAGCCTGGTTGGGCCGATAACAAAAGCCACATCCGGTGGGGGGAGCTGTCAGAAGACATCAGAGCAGGGCAGGACTCAGTGAGAGAGCTCCAGCCCTCAGGGCATGGGACTCTTTGAGAAATGGTGCTTCCCAGCACCTCCAGAGTGGGAGCAGAGCTAAGATTTGAAGCTGAGTCTGAACAGGAGCCCTCCCCCCCCAAAACAGAAGGAAGCTTCCTGCTTTGTTCGTGGGTCCACAAAGATCTGTGGTGGGTTCCTCAGACTAAAGCCCACCTAGCTAAGACCCAACTGGTCTCTCCCCTGCTCCACACCCCCCCATGGCTCCCCAGCACCCTCAGGGCAAGGCCCAGCTCTTCCTTGATCTGGTGTTGGAGGCCCTATCTTGTACCCAGACCACATGGTCTGTGGCTGGTCCCACAGGCATTCAGGAGGCTTACTACTCTCTTACAGGCCTCAAGTGCTGAGCTGAGCACTGGAAAATGAATCCACCATCAATTCAAGCTTGCTAACTTCAATCTGATTCCAGCAGGAGATAAAAAGCACATGGCTTGGGGGGGGGGTGTGCTGGACTACCCCCTACTCCAGACACAGAGAGGACAAGGCATAAAGGGGATGGCACAATTACCCAGCAAGTCAGATTTGTAATAAAGGCTGTGGGAAGGGTGCTGGATATCAGTATAAACTTTATATAAAATATCTCTACATGGCAAAACATCAATGCCTGACCCCATCTCTCCCCTGGGGGCTTCCTCTGCTCTGGCCACATGGGTCTCTCCATGTGCCTCAAACTAGCCAGAAACAATCTACCTCAGGATCTTGACATGTGCTGAAGCACCCTTTCTCAGCTCTTTCTGGCCTCTGCTCAAAAGTCACTTCCCCAGGAACTGCCCCACCCCCACTAACCCAGTCAGCTCTGTTTGCATGCTTCACCAGTTGGCATCTAAAATCAGCTGGTCCATGTATGTGTTTACTCCTTAATCCTCACTTTCCTTGTTAGACCTGTGCAATGAGGACACAGGATGAGGTTGTCTTGGTCTCTGCTGTGTCTCCAACACCAGTGGGCCCACAGTGGATGCTCAATAGCTGTTCATCTGCTCTCTGTGCCACCCAAAGAGACCACTCTACAGATAGGGAAATTGAGGACCCAGTTGGGGTATCTGAGGCTTCCTGGACCTGCAGTCCTTGAGAAATGTGTGCACAGTGGACAGACCCAATGGTGAAGAGCTGCTAAGTCAGGTTAAGTTTGGGGGGATCAGGCCCCATTACCCCAATTCTGCTCCCTGAAATGGGGGATTTTGACACCACTGCCCTAGGCAAACATCACCTTCTTTGACCTGTCCCCTCCCCCAGAAATGGGCTAGAGAGGAACCTACTTCCCCAAGGGGAAACCAAGAGGGCTCAGGGCTGAGGTGACTCAGACTGGGTGGGGCCAACTGGGGCCACCCACAGCAGTGGCCACACATCCCAAAACATGGGTGAGGGGCACTCATGCAGGTCAGAGGAACACACCTGGCAGGTAAATACCCATTTTGTGTAGTTAAGTCCCCTTAAAAGAAGTATTGTCTCTCTTTCAGGTAAATATCCGTATCTGTAGAGACCAGTAGGGCCTCAGGTAACTATCCATAGGAGGTAATAACATAAGGTAATAATAAATAGCAATAAAGTAATAATAAATATAATAAAATAACAATAGAAATAATGGAATGATAAAAATCCTTTCAAAATAATAAAACTAAAATAATAAGATGTTTAAGATAATTAAAGAATGGATGCTCCTGTGCTGGGCACCTCAGGGGGCACAGAGTCACTGACCCCCAGCCACTGAGACCATTGCTATCTCATTTTACAAGTGGGGAAACTGAGACAGGGAAGGGTGGACCACACAGTTTTCTGTGTAAACACTAGGGTTCAAAGGAAATCCTGGGGGTGGGGGTTGTCTACAGCCATATGGGTTCGCTCCGCTTGCTTCCAGTCTCCCTGCCGGGACAAACAGGTCCGGTTGTCCGAGTTTTAAGCCCCCGGCCACCCTGGATTAATCTGGGTATGTAGCAGGAGATTAACCATAGCCCTGTGTACCCAGGAAGGAGGCTGGTAATCCACGTGGGAATCCAGCCTGGGCCGTGGGGTAAGTACCCAGCCTGGAGACAGGAACTCCGCGTGTGGATAGAAAGCCCGGGGACACCGCACAGCGGCCGCCTCACCAGAGCCACAACAGGCGCACAGGACCCCCAGACCGTTCAGTACCCGGGACTCCAGGGCCCCGGGGTCCTGAAACCCACAAGCGGAGTGCGCCCCTCCACCCAGCCAATACCCTGGCGAGTCGGGAACGGGATTTCCCCAGGTAAACACGCGGTAACGATAAACCCTCCACTCCCACCGGCGTCTAGGGGGTGCCACGACCTAAAGGGGCGGGGCGGGCTTGGGGCTGTGGCTGGGCGGGTATATTGAGGAAAGGGGGCCCCGGAGCCCTGGGGGG